GGGAAACCTGCCTTGTAGAAAAAACAGAGGAAAACGCTGGAAAGGAAGAAAATAGGGTGAAAGGGAACCTCAGCACTTGGTGATGAGAAGAGAGCACTGAAGTCCGGCCCTGAAAAGGTTTCATATGGGAAGACGCTCAGTCGTCTCCCTGGCAATGCTAGAGGAGAGCTCAGATCCCACAGGAGAAACTGCTCTGGACCGGGGGCCCCAAACCTGCTGGGCATCATCTGGTTGCAGGAGAGAGGACCCGAGGAAACGGTGGGGAGAATCTTGCTCTCCTGGACCACTTCTAGCAGCCTTTCAAGACAAACCACTGCCCCATATGACTAAACATGCACCCATTAAAGGCATAATTGGCCATGTCCCAGCCTTATAGTCAGAGTACTAAGGCACACGACTGCAAGTGCAGTCTCGCATTCTCCCAGACAAAATGCAGACATCCCTCAGCACGTGACAGATATGCAGCAGGCCTTACCACAGATGCAACGTGATTTTTAATTGCAAAAACCTGATGAACAAGTGCAATCATCACATGTCCAGGTGTGCTTTTTGTCTGGTAATACAAGGCTGCATGTTGGCCACATCAGGGCCTTTCAGCCATTCATGTGTCAGAAGATGAGATGCAGAGTCCTTGCAAGAGAGAGCACTTGGGAAGAAGCTGACAGCAGTTTTGGCAAACCAGGTTCACAGTTTGATCATGCCTGTCTTAGCCTTGTCTCTCTGGAGCACTTTTTTACTTTTTGCCTGAATGGAGGAGTTTCCAAAGGTGGCCGTGACCTTGACATGCTTCTGTTAGAGAAAATTCTTTAGTAAAACCCTCTTTGAACTAGAGGAAAGCGGACTGTGAAAAGAGAAAGCAGTGAGGGGGAGATAACCCAAAAGAGGCCTCCCAGATGAAACCATCATCACTCTGAAAAGACTTGAGGGAACAGGAGCTGCTTTAGCCCAGACTGGTAAGCCTGCCTGGTAACACAGCCCTGCTCCAGCACAGTGAAGCAGTGAGAATGGAAACAAAATTCCCAAAGCAGCCGGCCTTCTCAGCAGACTAACAAGCCTTCCCCTCTGCCCTTTCTAAAGCTTTTTCTGGTGCACGGTATAGTTCCCTGAAAGGAAAATCACTGGCCTGTTCAAGTTTCAAAGCCGAGACAATATATGCACTGCTAATTTAGTTTCTGCCTTGTGACTTGCGGTCAGGGTGTTGCTGGCAGGTTGCAGCTCACCTGCGCATGAGTCAGCCGGCCCCCATCGGCTCCACTGCTGGCCTCTCACTAAGGAGCCTGGTCTGCCAGCCACAGCACCCGATGCCAGCTAGCTGCAGCTACCCCTTCTGAGGCTCAAAAAAGCCAAGAAAAGTTCTTATGATTAATTTCATAAATGAAATTGTATCAGAGACTGAAGGCTGAAGTTGTCCTAGGCTCTGTCCTAAGCTCCCCTCCATCCTCCCCCAACAGTAAAGTCATACTTTTAACCATGAGAAGGGGTGAACATGGGAACTACGAAAAGAAACTGCATACAGTACTCTGAGGTGGTTCGGCTCTTCTAGGACAGGGATATGTTTAGATTATATTGCTGAGCATAGCAAAGTACCAAAGCCCAAACAAGGCTTGTAAACACTCTGTGTGATTACCATATATTTCTACTACAGTATGTCAATAAGAGATCACCAATCATTTACTTCCTAAATGATTACTGTGACAATTTACTTTGAATTAGTTCTTAACAACTACTACACAATAGCATATTGCCTCTTCTAGTCTCTGTATTTCAAATGATTCATAGACTAAAAATAGAATACTTACCCCAAGACGACATTCAAATGAATGTATGCCTGGACTTCTTGCTGCTAGGTAGTGATTATCTATTTAATTATACGGCTCTTTTCTTTGCACTCTCTATTGCAAAGACAAGACTCTTTTCTAGATGAAACAATGCTCAAACGTTCCTAAAATCACGATTGCTGATTACCATTTCTACACATCCCAAACAAAAGAGTCTGCTGTCTAAAAACAAGTGGTAAAAGTCCCGCTCCACTACAAAGGAATTTCAGGATTTTAAACAGAGCTATATTTTCTTCTTTTATAGCTTTGTATTCCTAGTTTTCTGCCACAAACAAAACCCTGTGGACCAGATTGTGTGTGTGGCTCCCTCCCACTGACCTAAACGAGAGTTCACACATTTGTCCAAGGGCAGGCGTTGGACAAATACCATAATAGAAGAGATACAGCTTTGTGTTCTGCAATTTCACCTTAGGCATCAGCCAGGTCACAACCAGTGTTGCTAGACAGAAATGATATATCCGGTGTCTGCTATTGTTTTTTCATGATGAATTCCAGGAATAAATTAACATGCTGTATGTTTTTAATTATATTAAATCTCCACAGCAAATATATAGAGATTTTAAATGAGATTAAGTCTGTAAAATTCTGAGTTCCTGTAGAAAACTCTACTGTGGGTACATCTCATCTTTGAAAATGAGATATTTGAAATATTTGAAAATATTGGACTGATACACACTGATAAACAAAATGACTTTGTGTATTCTTGTCCTACATTTATTGAAGAAAAAGGTCACATTTCAAAGAATGTTCTTAAGGTGATCAGGCAGGGTTGTATCTAGTTGTTCCCTGGCCAGGACACGAGTCTACAAATCATAAACCTTGCATGGATTAACTCTGTGGACAACTGTCCTTCCGGAAGCACTTGCTTAACTGTTTTCTGAAACTCAAGAACTGAGAACGATGACATTAAAAGCTGTAGTAAGTCCTAAGGAAAATACTTTCAACTAAGTAAGCAGATGCTGTAATGCTACTGGCACAAAAGTAGCAGTGGACCCAATAAAATTAATCTCAAGAAAATGAGTTGCTAGCCACAAGACGCCTGGCTGCAAATACTGGCAGGCATACTTCTCAGAGCAACAGTTTCAGTAATGTGACCTTTCAATTACCCAGCTTCATGCCATGTCATTTGTCTGAATTATAAGAAGGGAAGTGCTTCCATTCTCAGTACAGCTGAGAAAAGAACTCTCTCCCCTAACATACGAGGAATGCCTTGTCTACCATACTGTTCAGTTTCGAGTCCGTGCTTACCTTTACAGGCACAACTGTTTTGATTATAAAACGTAAAACTGTTTTTGCATGTATCTTCTCAGAAGCAAGTGGTCTCCAAAACAGTTCTCTAAGATACAAGAATCAATTTCCTGTTAATTTTGATGTTTGACCGTTTATAGATATTTTGAAATGGCACCAACGCTGTAAGTATGGTTAACCTTTCAAGAGACACACAAGTCTGACGTGCCCTAACATCTCTTTTTGTTGATAAAAAAAAATGGGCAGATCTCTCTTACACAAATACACCTCTAATAGAAAAGAAGAAATGTCATCTCTTGAAAACCAGGTTTCCTGGATTATTTCTGAAGTAAGTGGTAAGATAAGAAAGCAGGGCAGTTCTGATCTGCACTGCCGAGCCGCTCATGTGTCACTTTGGGGCTGGCAAATTCTGTAAACCAGCAGTGGTTACATCAAAACATGCAACTTTTATTTGAAGGACATTCTTCCACTAGTTATATGCCATCAGCTAAACAGATGCATCTTCAGCCATTTACGGATCTAATTCTGTCTCAAAAGCACAACCTGACATTGTTGGTGTCATGAATACGCAGAACACCTTTATACTGAAGCTGCACAAAGAGGAAGGCGATAAGAGCTAGCAGGTCACTGCTTCAGGGGCTAGTGTCGGCCGGGTCCCTGGCCATTGCTGCTTTCCCCGGAGAGCTGTGGCAGCCGCTGCCTTGACAGACTTCCCAAATTCTCTCACAGAAAAAAACACAGACATATTTGCATATGTCCCTTCATTCATCTAGACTAAGATTACCTTAGTCCTCAACTAAGCAACTGAAGCCAACCAGCTTAATAAGGGTTTAAACTTGTACTGTTACGTCTCGTGTGAAGCTACAGCCAACACAGCGGTATCCATACAGGTGAGGGCTGGGGAAGCTGGACTCTTGTTTTGAACAAACAAGTTAAAATTTCTAACTTTTGTTTTAACAAAACCATTTATGATTCGGAAATATCTGTTTAAGAGCACCACGAAGAGGGAAGGAGGAGGTGGCCCTGTTCATTCCCTCCTTCCTCATAAGGTCTCTGAGGGCTGCCAGAGTTATATCACAAGACCACTTTTCTCCTTAACACGACCACAGGTAAACAGTAAAAAAATATGAAAACCTGCACATGGGAGCGGTTCTCTCCACTGCTCGCTAGTGAGAACACCAAGAACTGCTCTAGCTAACATTTTCCATTCTCAATCTACATAGCAGTCACCTCATCTCTGTAAAATACACAGTTATAAACAGAAACAGAAGATACCTATAAGCAATTCATCAGTCAGAGTAAAACTAACACTTGAATAGTAAAAGCAAACTCACTGGGCTCATCTAAACAATAAACTGGCTAAGGGAAAGTTTTATGATAAGGTTACTTGTCAAACTCATGTCCTTGAAGAGTGCTTCCCGTGCTGCTTCACGTGAAACCTGGGAGAAGAAGGTATGCGATTCTGCAGGCTGCTCTTATCCCTAGGGCTGGTATTTGCCCTCACCACAGGCATGAAGTCTGAGACATGCAGAACTGCCTTTGGTCTATGGGAAAATTACTAAAGTAGCAAAAAGGAGATAGACTGCGTTCCTATACAGTATTAACTTTGCTCTCTGCTGGTAACAAAGGAGAGAAGTTCTTGTTACTGAAATAAATTCAGAGGAAAAACCCCTGCACAGCAAACAAAAGAAACATTGGTCAGTTCATTTCGGCGCACAACGGGCTGCAATCTTGCTGCCAATGTCAATCTATTACAAGCCGCGTAGCTATAAATTTCAGCTGTGTTTAAATAAACACCAGCATATAGAATCACTCTCGGGTCCATCTAATGCAGTTTGTCTGTAGGCAGCAGAGAATCTCTACATTTCTTCAACTGAATGGCACAAAAAAAAAATTTTTTTTAGTTGCACGTACCTGCAATCCCTTGTAGCAGCCCACAGACATTAAAAATACTTTTCTTCATAATACTCTGCACACACATAGTAAAGACGGACACAAACGCCACAGCGCAGAGAATCATGATTCCCACAGCTAGGAAAATAGCGGTAGCCTGCCAGAACCCACTGGCAATCTCACTGAAGTTTTCAGCGTAAGGACCACAAAGCGTGTCTCGTCTAGAAACCTGCACGTGGGAGATCCTGGTGCAACGCCCATAGATGCCCAGCGTTGGGTGGTAGGGTTCCTGTGACCCTCCTGTTCTGTTGTCCATATCCTCAGAGCTCCAAGGCTTCGCTTTGCCAATCAGCCAATCTGCACTCATGAAAGCAATGAGCTCTGCAAAAGCCACGACAATACTCAGGAGTGTCCATAGCATCGACCGACATGTTACAATGACATGACACATATTGATGTCCAGTGCTTGTGATCAGTGCAGTTGACAGTCTTAAATCCAGATACAACAGGAAAAAATTAAATTAAAAAAGAAACAAAAAAAGAAAATCACTGTTGCTGCTCTGCTTTTTCAGCTCTCTCTCAACAGCCAAGATAAAACTTCTCAGGAGAAAAAGTTAACTGCCCGAAGTTTTGCAAGCAGTACAGTCGTTTGTTCTCTCTGTTTAGTTTCTCCTTTTTTCTTTCCTGGATGCTGAGCTCTGAAGTGCGCCTTTCTTTCTTAATGTTCATACTGGCACATGACGCTCCAGGCTGGTGGGGAAGGCCCCAAGCTCTGCCCACTAGATTGACATCACACACCTACAAGAAAGAATATATCAGCAGTGAGAAAAAGGGTTCATTTGCACCCCCGCGCATCCCAGGAACAAGCCAATATCCAGATCCAAAGCCACATGCAGAAGTTCCAACAAGGGCTGCTCAAAAAGAGTCTGCTGGAAACCTCCCAGCTTCGTCTCAGGGGAGCGATTACTCTCGCACTGCCCAGCTGTACTTACAGTATCTGCTCTGTCCCATCCGACTTGCAGTTGTTTGACAAACGCTTTGCGAGAAAGGTCTCAGTAACACCAGACGGTCCCACCCACTCCTACCACCACTCCCACATCATCTTCCTCTGGTTGAAATTACTAAGTTTGCTGGCAGTTACCCAGCAAAACGTTCGTACATGTTCAAGCAGTTTTAAAGACACGCAGTTCAGTTAAACTGCTGCCCTGCCTTTGGTCCTGGGACTCTAATGAGAAGGCTGGCACAGTACCCACCTTCGGGGAGGAAACAAGACACGGCTCTTACATGTTACAGTCACCTAGGACACAAAGCACAATGAATGAACCTCATTTCTATTCACTTCCCAGAATTACCGTAACTAGATTTCTGCTGATTGTTGCTGATCTAGCCTCTGTCTCAAGAGGAGACAAACAGGATTACAGCTGGGGACTGCCCACCCACTAGAACGCAGCAACTTTATGGTGACGCAGCCCATCATTTTAGAGCTTGGAAACAGTTTTGCAGAACTGGTGTTTCACAACATTCTTAACTTCTGTTCAGCTTTAAGTCAGGGTTTAAGAAAAGTGATCCTCCTGCAGGTATGTAACATCTCATCTTGAATTAACGCTGACACTGACAGCCTCAGGGTGACCTACACTACTGTAAATATGAATCTGCACAAAAATGTCCTGATCACTGCCAAGCCACCAATAACTCCAGTTAGAGAGGCTGCCAGGGAGCTACAAGATTTTTCACTCCCCTAAATCTGTTCCTTCCATAACCTTCTGCAGGCTGGGACTGCAGCAGAAACATTCCCCAGGGGTTTCCCTAAGCATCTATGCTGCCTTTGAACAGTAGGCGACGACATTCCCAGAGTTATACTTATCTCAGTATATGAGGCAATCAGAGACTCTTACACATCTAAATTTTATCCAAATATCTTGCTTAAAATAACAAATGGATCACTACATATGCCTCTGTGCTTGAACTTGAAACATGTCACTTAAAAAAAGGAGGAGAAAACAGGAAATGTACTCATGTTACCCATTCAGTGATGAGAACATAGCACTTTTAAGTTTTATTCACAAAAAAAGATACTCATATTCAACTGATTCTGAAGGCAAAAGAATCTAGAACCAAAACAGTATCTTATTACTATGGTTGCCAAATAGGAAGTGTTCAGTGGATGCAAAAACAACCCAAACAAAACCAAAAACAAAACAAAAACAAAAAAAGACATTCTCATTCTTATCTCAAAGATTCAAAGACTTCAGCTTTGTCAAAGAACAGCCTATTTAATTTTATAGGAGTTTTGAGGCCTATGGTCAAACTCTAGTCCCACCAAATGCGAAACCAAAAAAATCTCACAACTTCAACAGATTCAGAATTTCACCCAGGAGTTTTGCTCTCTCCTATACTTGTGTTAGTGAATGAAACACGAGATTCTGTCCTCATGACTCCTCGCTTCCTCACCTAGCTCGGTAGACTTATCTAGTACTGACACGTGTATGGACTTAAGCTGCCAATTGAATTTTGTCTCCCTTACTTCTACGTTGCCTCATAGCCTGTTTTTTCTGATATATCCTCCTGCATATTTTCCTGATATTTTACATTTGGCATGGCTTAAGAGTAGATTTCTCAGCTTCCAACTTCTCTATTACCACTGGTAAACCTGAGAAAAATATCCAAGCACTTGAAAGACAACTTAGTCTCCAGTGCCTATCTCTGGCAATTAGGCAACTCATTTCATCGGTTTTATTAGGTAAATTATTAAATTTTACTAAGTTACATGCTAAAAGGGGCATAACATATTTATTTGTGCTTTTAGTTGTACTAAAGACAATCGTTTAGATTACTTTCCATTTTTCTGGAGTAGCTGGGAAGAGCACGAGGTTTTCAATCACCCTGACACGCTGATGACTCGAATACACCCATTGTAATAACAGAGAGTTGAAGCCTTAGTCTGCCAGTAGTAGTTAGCTCTCTCAGTTTTTCCACTTTAAATAACAATTGGAATGTAG